GTATGACTGGTCGACGACGTCTAATAAGCCAGAGATGGCCATTCCAGTCTCCCTTGTCTTTGTCGGTAATACTATTCCGCCTAAAACATTCTCCATCAATCGTGGCTAAAATACGAACAAAGAAATGATTAGAGAGTAGATCAGTTTACAAAAAATTGTGGTATTATTCTGGAACAGTGCGGGCCTAAGTTTCTGAATGAAAATACGGAAGGGTGACGTGCCAGTATGTGGGAAGCGACTACATGATTGATAATGTCATTATGATTCCCAACAGTAAATTGTATAAACGCCCTAAAATGTCGCTGTCTTTTAACATTGACTGAAAGACACAAGAAACGCCGTCAGAAGAAGAGAGCCCTCGAAGGACACGTTTTAAAATGAGCGCATCTTTTTAAGCGAGACAAGAGAAATGACACGGAACGATAAATGATGAGAGGGAGAATGCGGAAATTTACAAATTGCCAAATTAACGACTGAGGGATGTGATAAAATCGCAACTGGCGAATGTAATGAACGAATTTACAAATTTTACTAAGGAGGATTTCCGTATGAAGGAAGCATTAAAAATTTTAGGACAACGTAGCTCCCAGGTACCGAAAAGATTGCACTTTACTGAGAGGAAGTTCAAAGGATTCGGGAAAGGGAGCTCATCGCAGTCGGAACACTGACTGATCTTATTTCTGCCTATTGTGCAGAAGACCGTTTTCCAAGGACTATATAGAGATATCATCCGAAGCATTCTTTAGAAAGTGGAGAGAAGTTTCGGTTTTAATAATAGTGTTCATCAACCAGACCATGAACACACTTAACGTATAGGCTTCATTAGGCGATCCCAGGTCCTCAGTGTGAAGCGAAAAGACGTGAAAGGTTAAGACGGGAGCTTGAAGCACCCCACAAATATCAAAAGGAAGAGCAGGTTTGCGACTGTTGAGGACTGCTACGTTCAGGAGAGTGGGGGTTGATTTCAGAGCGATGGTAACATCGCAGTCTAACCAGCGGAATTACCTTGCGAATTTCATTTGTGCAGAACGTCGAGTGTCTACCGCACTGAAGCTATGACCGCAAACACCTAAGATAATTGTTTAGACATCACCACTGGTCATTGGTCTTGCGTCACGCATGGGTCGTGTAAACAGTGAATAGTTTACAGATTCTAGCAGTGAAAAGCTGCGCCGATCATGATGATAAGTGTGATTCAGTGTCCGCGGAACCCTGTTTTTAAGCGCTTGAAATTTTATTTCCAAAGTATGCTTAAAAGCAAACCACTTCCTAATATTGTCACATAAACTCAACTGTTCGAAATCCAGCTTTAAACCCTAATTTTTTCAAGTAAAACAAAAGTATCTACTCAATCAACTTTTCATGCAAAAAATGTGAGATTAAAAGGTCAGAGAAAACAAGGGGTTTTTGAGTTAGCTTAAAAAAATCACTACAAGTAAATTTCAATAACAAAAATATTTTTAAGTGAAAAAATAGGACAAACACTACTTCACTTATCTGTGCTCTCGCATGTTCAAATGAACGGAAAGGGCAAACAACTTGAAGAACTGCTCGATACTTCGCATGCGGGAGGGAAAATTCGGTCAAAAGTCGGTGGCAGCATATTTGATTCGGACAAGGTTTTGGAAATTTTACGAATAAAAATTGCAGGAACCCAGGAATACCATTTCTGACTTAAAAGTATTACCAGTTATTGATACACCAATATCAAACCGAATAACCAATATCTGATCACCACCTATTTGGAAGTCGAACGTTTTAAATCTAACATTTTCCTGCGTGATTTATTGACTAACTTAGCGTTGGCTGTGGAAGAACGTTTCCAAAGTTAAAAAGGACTGGTTTTTACCGAATTTATTACGTTCTAGCGTGGGAACGAATATTTATGCTGTTCTCTGTTGTCCATTGTCTAGGCAATACGCAAGCGACTATATAAGTTCTTAAACCCATTAATTAGTACTCGCTTTCGACAGAAATATGAGACCTTGAAATGACGTTTTCTGACTGACTTCTCATTATCAGCTGGTGATTCAGGCCTCATAATTGAGATCTTGATTTTCGATAGACCAGTGGAGAAGTAACCCCTGTGACTTGGATTATATCTCTTACCCCATGTTGAGAACCAGTAACTGGCATACTGCCAGCTTACTTGACAGGACAACATAGGACTAAAATATTTTCTTCAGCAAACCTACTGACGACCGATTTCGAGTGGTAGAACATTATGAGTAGGATCCCTCGCAGTTGCGTCGCGCAGCAATAAAAGATTGTCGACAAAAGGGTACCTGGGCTTTTAACTGGTACCTGTGTTGCCAGTATCGTAAACCACTTGATTTTGGAACAAGTCTTATTCGCGAGAGAGAAAAGACAGCCCTTAGTCGGTTCCACATTAATCCTAATCCATTAATATGCTCAGTTTGTATGCCCTTCATCGACATTTTATGAGTCTGTTCCGACAGGTACCTCTAAATCATATAGCAAAACCTCCCTCTGTGAACTGAGATGCTTAATCGCGATCTAAATTAAGTACCCCTTTTCGTCTGTAGAAAGTGAGACTGCTGTGTTATTAGCAGGGAAAGATTGAATAGTGGTAGTGGGCGCTCCCTCGTTCCGTTGTGCCTTACGGGCTCTCTCTTGAGCCCAACCAGCAGCGGCACAGCGGCTCATGATAAAGGCAGAATGGCCTTCAAGGGGGCACGGGAGTAAGTAGTCCCCCGTACTACAGGCGGTATTGCGCTAAATTCTAGGGGTTTGAATTACGGTTAAAGCAAGAGTTAGAACTACAGGCAGTGTGCTATTACCGACAAAGACAAGGGGGACTGGAATGGCCATCTGTGGCTTATTAGCCGTCGTCAGCCAGTCATACCCAACTCCGAAGCGTGGAACACCTGAGGCTCGAACTCGCAACCTGTTAGTTAGAAGTCGATGCCTCTAACCGATCGAGACCGACAGGGCAACGGGCTCGTGGCCCAGTGGTTAGAGGCGTTGGACTTCTAACTAAGAGGTCGCGAGTTCGAGCCTAGGGTGTTCCACACTTCGGGGTTGGGTATGACTGGCTGACGACGGCTAATAAGCCACAGATGGCCATTCCAGTCCCCCTTGTCTTTGTCGGTAAAAACAAATTGAATAATGAATTGAATTATCGTCAAGAGTGGTCCATGGGACAAAAATATAGACAGCGTGGGCCATTATTATATCGCATTCTAATTACACGGTTAGGTTTCTTTGTGAATTTTGCACTACGATGGTTAATAACTGATTGGCCTGCGGTCTCACAAACACACATGGTACGGATGGTTAACTGTTTACAAATTCTGCAACCAGTGTGCAGGTCACCGCCGCAACCTTTTCTTAGTTAAAACATTTATTTAGAGATTTTACGCCTCCTTTAGTGTGTAGCGTCCAATTCACCTCATCTAGCTTTCACAGAGCACTGAATGCGCTGTATGGTACTCAGTAGCTTTTGATTGGTTGGAGGTCGACCTCTGGCCATCCGGCGCCAGGAGTAGAAAATGTTTATGTTACAATGTAAACATCACTGACCCCCATGATCTAAACCCGGGTAGGACCAGGTGTGAATGGACAATTCGACATTAGTTACACCGTTTTCCACAGCATTCTGGTTGCCAGTGAATAATTTGACCAACAAAGAATAGTATCATGCCGATAGATTGAACAGTCATGATGAAGGAACAGATTTTTGTCTTAAAGACGCAGCTGTGTAACTGTCTTGGTTCACAGTTTTAATTTATTTGAATAGATTTTGACCGCGAAATGGTTGCTGAACCGATGGATACTACGTAATACTACCCATGCGGTCCAGCATGTAGAGCTGTTTGAAGAAGAATAAGATAGGCTCTCCGGAACAGGCTTATCTAAATGCTGAAGTTTCAAAGAACTTGATCGGCTCTACATTGTCAAAACGTAAAATGCACTTAATCCATCAGAAATTTCAAGCGGCATGTTGTGTTGGTCGGCCTCCTCCTGATCGATTTTTCTCTCCTCTCGCTGCATCGGCCTCTCGGATGATGGTTGACGGGCGTTTTGTCTGCGTGCTTTGTGAGTCACCACTCCGTCGGGCGGATCTTTCACGAGTGTGTTCCGGCCGGTACCTCTAGATCATATAGCAAAACCTCCCTCTGTGAACTGTGATGCCTAATCTCGATCTAAATAAGTGCCCATGTTCGTCTGTAGAAAGTGAGACTGCTGTATTATCAGCAGGGACATAGTGAATAGGGAGAGTATCGGCAGTATTTAAATAAACCTGTTGTTGAGAGCCCATCTTATTCTTCTTCAAACACTCTACCCGGATCTCTCAACTTTGCCAATCTGAATGTAGAGGTGTCTTATCGAGCAAACGACATGGCTGCGGATGCAGCTACGGTGAGGTAGTTTCATGACATAACATTTCGAGGCATTCGACCCAGTGCTTCCGTGAGGAGCGCCGTTTCTTTGGAGCTGAGCATCGGCGCTGTTCCTCGGGTGTGGGAGTCGTAGACCACCTCGACTGACGCAAGGTGACTCTTCATGTCGTTGCGGTTTGCGTAGTTCCCCGATCCATCCAAGTTTTTCGCATCCTCCGCAGTCGTTGCTGCACCTGGCGTCAACTGCAGAAGAAGGATATTTTGTTTGTGTCGGTCCCGCGTCTAACGTAGGCTGTGTGAAGCCTGTTCTTTTCGGGGAGCAGGTAGAAATGGTTATAGTTTAGCCATCTGTAATGTTGGTAGCGTGCGCGCCCGAGGACTCCATGGTTGTGGAGCAAATGACTTTTCGTAGTTGACACCATTGTGTGTCCAGAGCTTGTAGCTCTTCTAAGTGCTGGGCCAGTTGGTAGCTGAACTCTGAGCGGTGAGCGGACAAGTTCAACAAAATAGTATTTAACCTTCCCGGTAATCGCTCACTTTGTGGTCACCTGAGAGGTTGCAGTTGCAGCCTCATCTTGGAGGTGAGAAGGCGGTGATCCGTCTAATTGTCGGTGTCGCAGATCGTCTTGGTCACCTTCACGTCCCATTGATTTCGACTGTGGACGAGAACGCAGTCCAGAGACTGCCAGCATCGCGATCGGGGAGGGGGAGCATTCTTGTTGTCTTCTTTTGCGTCACAGGACGGAAGAAGATGGTAATCAGAGGGATGAGGTAGAAATCCGCCAAGGTCCGAAGAAGGAGGAGGCCGTTGTCTTTGGAGCCGCCGAGAACACGGAGACTCCTCATTCCATCAAGACATCGTGATTTGTCCCGACGCGGACGCTGAAGGACAGTCGGCTTCTCCGGCTTCCGCACAGTTGTCAGTGGGGCATGCAGATCTTTGTAGAACTGAACCACTGAATACTGAACAATACGACTCGTGTTATTTTATTTGTAAATGCATTCCGTAAAACGCATAAGATGACGACTCAGCACCAATTTTTAGTTGGCTAGTTGTTTATTGTGTGGAAGTTGACTTCAAAAACATCAAAAATGCGCCACCAGCTGTCCTACAGGAGTTATTAATCCTCATTTTCAAATAATTTAGAAAAGGATTAACAATATTGCAGTTTTCTCTCCTGCCGTACTGAAAGCTAAAAGCAGACGGGTGGTTACAACGAATTAAAGTTATAATCAGCGAATATGCGGAGGCCTATAATTTGACCGAGATAAATGACATGCAATTATGCCATAGTATGCTTGCCTATTGTATGCTATATTGTATGCTAAACTTACACAATCTCAGTAAAAGAAAATACGGAAACGTCATGATTTACTTTGGGCAAGGAGAAATTTGAGTTCAGGAATTTACAATGCCGATAAACACAGCATATCACGTTAATTCGTGTAGGGTTGGACGTAGGCTAAATTTTTTTCCGTTCCCATCGATCTCCACAAATATTCTCCATGAGCGTTTAACAAAATCATTACAATTTCTCAGAATAAATTGGGGACTTGTGTTTTATTCATTTTATTGTCACAAATGATGCCATTTTGATATTATTCCCATGCAACAGCAAAAGGTTTTGTTCTGGAGTACCTCAGTTTTAGCACTTTTTGAAATGCTTACTAAGAAATTAGCAGGCTGCATTTCTGACGGATTAGCCGTCGTCAAATAACCGGGCGTCCTGAATCTGGTGCCATGTATGGCTGGCCAACAACAGCAAACAAACCAGAAACGACCATTTCCATCTCCTTTGTGTTTCTCGACACCTCCTTATTTGTTAATACTACTAGTCGCCAACTGTATACCTCCCAGGCTTTTAGAATGAGTCCCAATACATAAGAAAGCAGCTCGTTGCGCAACCTGGTGAGTGCGGCACCTTCAACTATAAAATTATGTTTAAATGTAATCTGCTTTGGTTGTTTTTTTTGTGAAAGTTGATAGCATTTGAAAATTTATGCCAACTACTTATTTTTACTCCACTAAGGCAGTCGTAAATTGGCCCCCAAATATTAGTAAAGCACAGCCTGTTCCTTGTGCTTTAAGTGACTGAAGATTGCACTCTCTAGATACCGAAATATCCGCCCGTCTGCGAAGTGTTAGATCTAATGACACACTTTACTAGTTCACTGAATGCCTACAGGTGCTAATATCCATAGGATATAACCAGTTCGTGGACTTTGAAAAATTACATTTGACATGTTACAGATCCCTAATCATACTAATGAGTCGGTGGCGAAATGCGCCCTCTGTTGGGCACGTTGTGGACGTCGGCGTTTACAACGTTTGAACTCAAGTAGTTAATTTACAGTTAATTTACAGCAATATGCACGATGTTCCATAACTGGCAGTACAGGTACTAGCTACAATTCCAGACACGTGTTCGACCGATATTCTGCCGCTAAATGGCACAGCCGCAAAGGGGTTCGGTTCATCAGTGGGGTCCTCCACCATTCCCTGTGTACTTTCTAGTTGACGCTCCAGTTTAGAAATAGCAGATTTTTAATTCCCGCGGTAATAAGTTGCTAACTTGGAGTAAACCCTTTCCTCTGTGGCCAGTCGTTGCCCTGAAAGGCAGCCTCGCATACAATCTAGTCAAATGGATGTCCCGAAAACTCAATTTTCACCGAGAGGGCTGTGTGACGTCAGTCACTTCGGCTTCCCAATTCCTTGCCGACATTCGCGGAAAAAATATTCGACCCGACCAAATGGTATCCTTCGGCGTTGTCTCACGCTTCACGTCCATTCCACCAGACTTGGCGTGCGAGTGCTACGCAAACACCTCTAAGAAATGTACGACGAAACGACAGGACCCCTAAAGATCCAGCACCTAATGCAGCTCTTTGCATTCTGCCAACGAACCTTTTTCACCTTCGATGGCAGAACATACGAACAAATCAAAGGAACACCCATGGGTTCCCCAATATTCCGCAACTACAGTGCGTGACCTATCTCATGAAATGTTGGCTGAAATTCTGAAATGCGTTTTCGATTCGGAAGGATTACTTGGTCGCGGTTGTGATACTGATTATCTAAAGGCATACTCTTATAACATTTTAGACTCGGCAGGATGTCGGCTTTTAAATGCACCTCTTTTCAATCTCCTGTAGAAAGCGTGCTTGGTAAAAAATGACTACTTAAGTAGCATGCATTTTTCCCATTGATTTTCGATGGTTTTGGAAATTCAAATATATTTTATAGAAACGACAAACAAAAGTATGCTTTCTTTTAGTCACTCAATAGAGAATCACGTCTTCTTTATATTTTATACTTAAGGAAGGAGTATAATTAGGTTTTAAAAACGTTTTCTGATTGCCGAAAAATTTGGAGCCTGATCATTCGTTGCATTAGCGCTTAGTGATTACACTCTACAAGGTGCATGCGTTCCGCGTAAAGAAAATCCCATATTTTTCTATGTCATTAAAGAGATATCATACAGAGTCCATAAAATTTTGCAATGGATGCGGACCATGTTGTACATTTCATGAGGAGCAGTGGCAAACGGCCAGGTACGATGCTATGTGAATGGACATATCGCGGTCTTAAAAAGTCTCATAATAAGAAATTTTTTTTAAACCTAATTATACTCCTTCCTTAAGTATAAAATATAAAGAAGACGTGATTCTCTATTGAGTGACTAAAAGAAAGCATACTTTTGTTTGTCGTTTCTATAAAATATATTTGAATTTCCAAAACCATCGAAAATCAATGGGAAAAATGCATGCTACTTAAGTAGTCATTTTTTACCAAGCACGCTTTCTACAGGAGATTGAAAAGAGGTGCATTTAAAAGCCGACATCCTGCCGAGTCTAAAATGTTATAAGAGTATGCCTTTAGATAATCAGTATCACAACCGCGACCAAGTAATCCTTCCGAATCGAAAACGCATTTCAGAATTTCAGCCAACATTTCATGAGATAGGTCACGCACTGTAGTTGCGGAATTGGTCCTACAAGAGCTGCAAAAGATTGTTTTCAGGCACTACAAACCTGCATTTTGGCGCCGGTACGTGGACGATACATTCGTCATTAGTCAAAAGGACAGGCTATCGGGTTTTCAAGACCTGCTTAACAGCATCTTCCCCGACGTTACCGTCACACGCACACCCGGTGGCAAACTCTGCACTACAGTGTACAGAAAGGCGGCCAATACAATCGAAGTCCTCAACTATCACAGGAACCACCTATTGGTACAAAAACGGGGCTGTGTGAGGGCGCTTTTCGACCGGGTAAACACGCACTGTAACAAGCCCGAAGGAAGGATGCAAGAACTACGGCATCTCAGGGACCAATTAACAAAGAACGGTTACGCAAATAGTTTCATCAGCCGCTGCATTCGCACGCACCCATGACGGACAAATGAAAGAAAGACACCAACGGTTTGGCACTTCTTACCGTACATAAAGAATGTGTCCGAGGCCACAGAACGCGTTGCGTCAGAGTTAGGCGTGGGCATCTCTCATCATCCGGCGGCTTCCATGCGTAGCAGGATCATGGAAATGAAGGATCGGCTGAACGCAGGTGAACAGTTGGACGTAGTCTACGAAATCCCGTGCCATTACTGTCCTTGCCACTACACAGGCCAGACAGGACGACGTATCAGCTCACCAATACTTGAGCACAAACGGGCCGTTCGGAGAGGCGACCACTATCTCAAGTCGCCACTCACACGCTGGAGGAAGGCCATGAGTTCGGTTTCGCCAACACGCGAGCCGGCAACAAGACGGGTCGAGAACTGTTGTAGGCGTGGGTGTCGGAAACCACCTCTATCAACAGACACATCGATTTGCCTGCGTGTTATCATGCACTCAGCCCGCGCAACCAGGTGGCGCAGCTCACATCGTCGCGAAGTATAAACGGCGTCGCCACGCCGGGAGACCATTGTGGGTCAGGCGGCACAAACTAGACCTAGCCGCGGACGTAGTCTCCACCCTCACGGCACAAAGATATAAATGTTCATACGTTGCTGCACTCTAGCAGCCTCTGACGGTAAGCTCCATTTCGGGTTCGAGAGCTAAGGCCAATAAATCTACCATCCCAGTGATCGTGCCTTCGTATCCTTTTGAGGCTTATATGTTCAGGTTCAAATTTGATAGGAATATTTGAGCCGACGTCCATCTTCCCCAGCGGAATAACTGTGCAATATTCATAATCTGCGAATATACAGCTGTAATATTCATAATCTGCAAATATACAGCTAGTAATGCATACATACACTAGACGTGCTATTTCATGACATGTTAACCGAAGTGCTGAAGGCATTTTAGTTCGGAAAGACTATTAATATAGGGGTGTCATGTTAATTATCTCTTCGCATAATACCAAATCATCTCAGCCACGTTAGGATGCCAGCATTCGAAAGAACTGTTTATAGTCACATGTTTAAACCACAGTCCGTAGAAATGACTACTTAAGGAGTACGATTTTCTTTATTGGTTCCCTATTGTGCCCATCGAGTGGGGCTATACAAACCCATATTACCCTCTGTCTACAGCATAATCGAGGATATTCGTCTTTATTGGTAAGTTTCTGGACCTTTCGTTCTGGCCGCTATTGATGAACACACCGGTGTCTGAACTATCCGAGGATCGCCACATTTTTAATGCGATTACAGTAAACCTAAAGACTAAAAGACCATGAACATGGTTTTAAAGCCCTGTCAATATGTACATACATCTTTGTCACGCTAATAATTCGTGAATTCACAAAGTAACTTCAAAAATAAAATTTTAAAAACTTCAAAACTTCAAAAAACAAAGAAACCTTCAAAAACAAATTAAATACTTGTTTTTAATTTTGAACGACAGCTACTAGTAAAAGATCTTGGGATATTTTAAATGTATTAGAAAGAACTCAAAGTAGGTACTTGGGGAGAGACAATGATCTTTGGCGAGGCATATGTTAAATCATCATATTCATAGAATTTAGCTTGAATAGTAATCTTTCGAAAAAAGTGTCTCTTCTGAAAATAAATTTCTTGCAGTAAGATATGAACAGCTCTTTCCGGGTGTATTTTATGACTAGTCGACATACCGCCGGATACAAACAGAGTTCAGGCTTTTCTCTTTTCCGTTCACCAGCACCAATTGAGTGCCTGGGCATCTACGAAGTGATACGACAAAATCACAAAGTATAAGTCTTGCCGAATTACTTGTGTAAAAATAGGGATATTGTGTCATACTTCTAGTTCTGCTGCTTATATACTGTTTAGTAATCAACTCGTCTGATCTATTTAAAGCTTGTTGTACCAGTAAATTAGTTTGCTTGTTTTAATACTCATAGCAGCACAGCGTTAATACAACGGTCGCTTAATGCGGAAGGGCGATGTCCATTGATCACGTCTCTAATAAAGTTATTACCGAGTCAGGATAACGGAAAAATTGCCATTCTATCCGTGACTGAATCGCAGTGACAATTATGGAGCAGATAAACCTCTATTTTACTAGTAAGCAGCTAATATGAAGTTCCGATTGCTCATGTAGCCGCCATCTGTACGGGCAAGCAAGACAATCTTATGTCCTACATTGGAGTTTGCACAACATCCACAGGGCACCTTGTCAACATACGTCAGCCCGTGGGGTTCTACAGAGTTCCTCGACTGGATTTTGACGATATTTGCCAGTACAGTTCATTTTCCGCCTTGAGTCGCTCTGAAACCACGCTAGACGGCCGACAGACCCCGTGCATTTCCGATGTCAGCACAAACATCTTTACTACCAACCTTTGTAAATCAGCCACCCTAAAAATCGCTAGGTAGGCGAAAACCGCACGTATCCCCGCCGCATTCTGCGTTTTGGCACAGGAAATCAGACCACCATGAAAAACTGAAAAACAAACTGTCAGTCTGAAGCGTCAACCTAAAGCTTCCCCCTATTGATTGTTTATTCTAAGTCTGAGACTTGGGGATGAAGTATAGAATGGGACTTTTTCTGCAAGAATGCTGCGTTATGTTCTGGAAAACGTCGATTTTACTAATTCCATTCTGGTTCTCCTTGCTTTGTTGTAAAACACAAAGGTGCATTTTGGGAGAACATGAATTTATGATTTAGAAATTTATTTTAATTTAAAAGCGCTATTCCTAGAAACATTCCTCATCATGAATATCCTAGAGGATACAATAAGTTTTCAGCGTATGAGGGCTTATCGGGGACATGTCCGCAGATGACTCACGAAGACATTGACAGGCTTCTTTCGATTCAAGGTCGTTGTGAGATCAACTTGACCGCATAGCATGACCTATTGAGCGCAGGTTATTGCGCTCTCTGGAAATTCTTCTAAAAGGATGCCTGAAGCAGTCCCGCGGCAATAGTCATCGGACAACATAAAGCGTTACACTAAAAATTTGTTTTCTACACAACCCTTTGCGAAAAATACGCTGACATATGCCCCAAATGCTGCTGGCAGATAGAGCAGTCAATTTATTATTACGTCAAATATAAAGTTACAGTATATGTGCTAACTCATTAAATGTCAACCAAAATTTCGAAATGCGTTCTCGTTCCGAAAAGATTAATTAAGTAGTGTTTTAAAAGTAATCATGATGCAGCATAAATCTATAATGATCCAGTTACCTCAGGGTGTCGGCTTTCGTACGAACCTATTTTCGGTTGCATGCAAGATCTATACTCTGCAAAAAATGATTGCTTAAGTAGCATGCATTTTTCTCATTGATTTTCGATGCCCTTGAAAATTCAATTATATTTCATGGAAAACATGCATACAAATATTCATTCTTTCACTCATTCGGTAGAAAATCTCGTCTTCTTCCAATTTCATACTCAAAAGAAGAATGTAATTCGGTTATAAAAGAAGTTTCTAATTGTGAGATGTTTTAATACCGTTAAATGGTCGTTCATGAAACGTCATGTATCTGCATTTACGAACGTGGCTTGTAAAGTTAACAATACTGCTCAAATCCACTGCTTAATTTTATGAACCTCATATGGTCTCCTCTTAACACCGTAGAGAAATGCATGGTTTTCCGTACACGGAACATATACAGCCTGTAGTTTTGAAACCCCGAATGCAAGTGTAACAGCAGGTTGGGTTCAAAATTATTCGGGAATTAGAAAAGTTTTTTAAAACCGAATTATACTCTTCTTTTGAGTACGAAATTGGAAGAAGACGTGATTTTCTACCGAATAAGTAAAAGAATGAATTTTGTTATCCATGTTTTACATGAAATATAATTGAATTTTCAAGGGCATCGAAAATCAATGAGAAAATTGCATGCTATTTATGTAGTCATTTTTTGCAGAGTATAGGTCTTGCATGCATCCGAAAATAAATTCTTTCGAAAGCCGACATCCTGAGGTAACAGGATCATAATAGATTTATGCTGCATTTTGATTGTTTTACAACACTACTTAATTTATCTTTTCGAAACGAGAACTCATTTCGAAATTTTGGTTGGCATTTCATGAGTTAGCACATCTACTGTAAGCTAGATTGTCTTCAAGCCCAGTATAGTACATATTTCACCGAACGCAAAAATCCGTATTATCTGCTGTGATCTTGCTAAAATCTCGACTCTTCAGCCTGATGTGCGTGTTGAGGAGCTTAAAACCAAAACCGCTCTGAGGTGAGTGTAGGCAGAAAGAAACTAAGGGATTGCGAAACCCGGGGTTGCGTATGGCTGGCTGAAGACGGCCAATAAGGTAGTAATGACAGTGTCCGTCCATCTTGCCTTCGTTGGTAATCTCCTTCTGCCTCTACTGCTGATCAGTGTGCGATGGCTTACGAGGCTATATAGCGGGCCTTAAAGCGCAGTGGGACGAGTCGTGACGGGATCGGAGAGCGTCCCATCTTACCACTGCTAATCAGCCCGACTGCAACCGATAGGAAAACTAACTCGTGACTCAACGGTAAGGACCCCGAAATGATAACCAACAGGTCGCGGGGTCGAGCCCCAGCGGTTGCAAAACCTGGTCATGGTGTTGGATTTCTAGCCAGCAGGCGCGAGTTCGAGCCTCGGGTGTTTCACACCTCGGGGTTGAGTTTGGCTGCCTGATGATGGCCAAAAAGCCAGAAATGGCCATTCCAGTCTCCATTGTTTTTGTGGGTAATAACATACTGCCCATATCATGCGCCGCTGTGCGGCTGATGGTTGGACTCGAGAGAGGGCCCGTAAGGCACAACGGAACTAGGGAGTTCCGTATGAACAATCGGTGTGCGCCCCCTACCATTGTATATTCCCAATCGAAACCGACAGGGCAACGGGCTCGTGGCCCAGTGGTTAGAGGCGTTGGACTTCTAAATAACAGGTCGCGAGTTCAAGCCTGGGGTGTTCCACACTTCGGGGCTGGGTATGACTGGCTGATTACGATTAATAAGCCAGAATTGACCATTCCAGTCTCCCTAGTCTTTGTCGGCTGTATCATTCTGTCTCAGAATGCCAAACTAGCGTACAGTGAGTGATCGATCTCATTAAATGTTGGCTGAAATTCTGAAATGTGTTATCAATTAAGAAGGATTACTTAGACGCGCTTGTAATACTGATTATCTTGCGGCACAGTTGTATGATATTTCGGACTTGGCAGAATGTGGGCTTTTGAAAGCACTGCTTTCCAATCTCCTGTAGAAACCGTACTCGGTAAAAATGACTACTTATTTAGCATGCATTTTTCATATTGATTTTCGGTGGTCATACAAATTGAAATATATTTTATAGAAACCACGAAGAGAAATATACTTCCTCTTAGTCGCATGATAGAGAATCACGTCATTTTTATATTTTATATTCAAAAGTGGATGCGGATGTATATTTTGCGAGAAGCAATATAAACCTGCGGGCACGATGTTGTGTGAATGTACATTGCACGGTGTTAAAAAATCTCATAATTAGAAACTTTCTAAAACCCAATTATACTCCTTCTTCGATGA